TATATATATTATATCGAAAAATAATTTGTTACTCAACGCGACATTCGAGGGCACTTGGAAATACGAAAACTTATATAAGACATGCGCCCACATGACGAATGTGGTTTGCATAGCAAATTGACTAATTTAATCATGTCCATCTCAAATATCATCTAAGCATTTAATCGACCTTCCATAGCAAATATAAATGGACACGCTTTGATCTAGCGAAGGCTATAAAACCAGATGATCAGAAGGAATAACCAGACTCCAATYTCTAACGATGGCAACCATGTTTCTATACACGTTCTTACTCTTCCAAATCCTCTGTAAGTACATGAAAGTGATTTGGWCATAATAGTCCTATATATACTTAATAATTATAATGCTCGAAATAGTTTACGTTGTTTGCTCCGCCGGTGATGCACCGAAAAGTGGTACGGATGAACTAAAATTCGGAGCTGAACCAGGTGAACCAGTGTTTTATCCGGAACAAAACAGTGATCTACCAAGGACAGCACCGTATAGGGATGACGGATGGACTTTAGACCCTGGATTTACTGGTCTTGGTGACTGATTTCTATATAGAAAGCGCCAAAGAGCAAGCTGTGCCGAAAACTTCATTAAAAAACTGTTTTCACATTGGCAATTACAATAATAAATATGCATTGACTAAAGAGTTCTCCCAGGTCTTTCGACACTCATGGGCATAGCTTTCAGTGTCTACTTGAGCATAATTTAGACATTTTATGATATAAATGTCTTTATGATTTGTGCCTTATGCATTGGGAATATGAATATCGAGAATATTCATGTGTGTGGTGTGTGTCTGATATTAGTTATACGCAGCAGGTGGCAAAGGTTCAGTTAGACAGAAATGCAATGTTCAGATAGAGCTAGAAAATGAATTTCAAATTTGTTTGAGGACGTGGCATATCGCAAATAGTGTTTAAGATCTCCAAAATGAGATGATTCATTTACTGTAGCTTATTTGAGAGGCAACAGCTGGCGGGTTATGTTAAAGTTCTTTGCTATTGACAGAGTATCTCCCAGTCAAGCACTACCAACAAGAACATGCCTTAATAAGAGGGCAGCATTGTGCCGGGTATGTCGCAGCTCTCACAACTTTTGTAACACACCTCGTTTTCTTTTCGCGCGGGGGATTTTCTCTTCACACTTTTTGTGTCAAATGCTTGTGATCGAAAGTCTGTTATTACGGCTCTTTTAAGGAAAAACCCAATCTTATTATTTGCTCTTTTTATTTCGCGTCATTTGCGGTCGTTGCGATTCCTCAGCTCTGCTCTGCTCCTCACCCCGCCCCGTCGCATTACCCAGATCGCGATTTTAAATAGTCGTTTGATGTAGATTTATTGTGCAGGCACTGCGAACGTGGGTGACTGAGTCTCTTGTAAATCGAGAATCGAACGTGAAGGCGATGCATTGTTGTCAACTCTATAAATCAAGCCGCATGAAAGTGAAAGCCCTAGGCAGTTGCCTAAGGTCGTTGTGTTGCCTCTGACTTGGCTAGCTTGTGAAATATGTTGTTCTTGAACAGTTCGCACAATAAATCTGTGCTCAATAATTTATCATCTTAATTACGAAATTAGTAGACAGGTAGCAGAAAATGGCAGAGAAACACGAAAGACCAAAAGATCTCAATCAGAATTTCAACAAAGCAAATGGACACACAGTAAAACCTCACTTAAGTGAGATGTTATATATTCTCTTAATTATATCAAATCTTAAATAAAAAAGGGGTAAAGAACAGAACTGCTGAAAGAGATAGTGATAATGAGAGAAGGAAAGAAAAAGAGAGAGAGAGAGAGAGCTCTCTGGCTCTGCAACTGTCTTTTGATATTTATACGAGTCTATATTTATATCTCTTGTTATGTTTCTTTCAATTTCTCTCTGTTCCTTTTGCATGCTCTCTCTCTCTCTCTCTCTTACTTTCTCTTCTACTCTTTTTCACTGCCTCCATCACCCTCTATCTCTCTTCCTCTCTCGATATCAACTATTTTATATTTTTATATCTATCCCTTTCTATGTTTCTCTTAGTCCTTTCTATCTGTTTCTTTCATACTCTCTCTCTTTCCCTCTCTCTTCTACTCTGTAGACCCTTTTTCTATCTCTCAATTTGTTTTTTTTTCCTCTCGTGCCCCCTCTCTCCTCTCTTTCTCACTCTTTCACATTATCACTTTTTTTTATTTATAATCTATATTTATTTGGTTTCTATCATATTTAAAGCTCACCTGAGATATATTTGATTAATATATGTATCTTTACTCTATCTACCCATCTCTCTTGCTCCCTCTCTTCATCCATTATCATATAGACTTGTACGGCAATTAATATATGTCAGAGCGATATACACTACAAAGCATGCGCTCGAAAAGCAGCTCTCAAGGTCATTTCAGCTGAAATCGTTGGGAACTTTGGGCATCTTTTGTTATATGCGTAGCGAAATCTAAGAAAGCTTTATGAGCACTAAAAATCGCATGCAAATTATAAATCGCGTCATTTCGACTAATTCTATTGTGTCGGGGCCTCAAGTCGTGTTTTGTATGTGTATGAAATAAATAAAAATGTTACCTGATAAACGCAGATGATGGGAAGGCCGCCGCTGCTAATCCAGCTGGCAGTCGCAGTCGCCGTCGCCGTCGCAGTCGCAGTTGACGTTGGGGCTCCGCTTGACCCGCCCTTCCGCCCTAAAGGCTGGCCAAAAGCAGACGTTGACAGCGGATATGAG